CCCCAGTCCCCCCTTGTGCCCCCCCCCCCCACGAAATCACACGAAATCACATTTTGCCCCCCCCCAGGAAAAGTCCCTTTTCCCTAAAATTATAGAAACAAACCAGCGAAGATTAACAAATAGATAAACGGAAAGTAAGTTTTAGGCTTTATCCTTTGTCCTTGTTTAACAAAATTGGTTTAAATTGTTACTTTTTTCTACCACTAAGTAATGATACATTATTGTTAATAATTTTTTATTTTTTGGATGCTCAGAATGCAGGAAATAGCATTTCCGGGTTTCAAATTTCAAAAATTTTCTGGGGATTATCCCTCTAATAAGTAATGATAAATTACAGTTAATATTCTTTTTTACTTTTTGTGCTTTTATTTCAAATACAAGTATAGTTAGCATAAATTTTAGAGCAAATTTGGATGCTCAGAATGCAGGAAATGGCATTTTCGTGCTTCAAATTTCAAAAATTTTCTGGGGAGTACACCCCCACACACCTGACCATTGCCATCGTCCTCTAATAAGTAACGATAAATGATGGTTAATTTTTTTTTACTTTTTGTGCGTTTTTTCCTTTATTTATTTCAAATACAAGTATAGTTAGCATAAATTTTGGAGCAAATTTGGATGCTCAGAATGCAGGAAATGACATTTCCGGGATTCAAATTTCAAAAATTTTCTGGGGGAGTACTCCCCCAGACCACCCCCCATTCATGCGTGGTATAGTGGCCACACACGTAGCCTTCAGCCATTGCTATCCCCCTCTAATATATTATCTCACAGAAACGTCCCTTTTCAAAAAATGGCCCCCCACGGGAAAATCCTTAAAAAAGGCCCTGGCCTCCGATGCCTTTGGCTTTGTTAGTTGTAAGGAACTGATAGAACTATCCAGTATAAGTAAAGTTAGTGAAGTTATAATTTCTTCCTGTAGTAAATTTGCTACAGCCTTTTCTGGCATTTCTGCACTTCCAAGAAGTACGGTTCAGAACTGATAGAAGCTATCCAGTATAAACATAGTTGATTTCATTCTTTTTCAGGGCAAATGCCGAGTATATCAGAGAAGCTGGTCGAGTTTGAAAACCACTGCATGCATATTGGACAGTTTCCAAGATGAATGTGCCCTGTTAACAACGTTCAATTTTACTATATATTTAATAACATTTAAACACATATCACAATAAAACAGCCGGTTCGGCACTGGCGCTAGCTTTGTTATATTTTCGCCATGTCTGGAGGCGTGAACTCTAAAAAGAAGGCGGGTTGTGGGCGTGCCACACTAGCTTCTGATTGGCGCGTTGTCTCTACGTCATTACTATCATTTATAATGTTAATATAAACCTGAACCGTTCGATACACTCCCGAGGGTTAATGTTTGTACTAATATAACTATTAATAAACTTAAATCACGTTATTGTGTCACACAGTATCTTTACGATTGTTCTGACTTCGTAGGAAGTATTTAGTAACCACTGTACTCCTTGCGTTCGCCTTCAGCGGTTCCTTTGAAGAGGCATCCTCTTTCGTCTCTTCCGTCGTAGGATCCCTCGCGTGCGTTTCGTTCTTCTGTTTGCAACTCGACCGTATTTCTAGAGGAACAAGGGGTTGTATGGGTCTTCGTAACCATGTTGATTTTCCATTCTCTTGATTAACTACGCGTACCTTTGCCGCTCTAATAACACCGTCTTTACTGGGGAGTAATTCCTCCACCCTAGCTAACTTCCAAAATGACCGTGATGACTTGTCGTTCTTTAAAACTACGATCTCTCCTTCTTCTATCGCCAGCTTACGAGCCGCATCCGACGAAACCTTTGACCTTGATGACTCTCTTAAACTAGCGAGATACTCAGTTCTCCATTGCTTCGCAAACTGGTTTAAAAGCCTTTTGTGATACTTCTGTGGTCGAGTTAGGGATTGATTTGTACTGATCACTTCGAATTGCTTATCGTTTGGCGTTGTAGCGATGTTTCGACCATAGATCAACGATGCAGGTGTTAACGGATAAGACACGCCTTCTTCATCATCGTATACGTAAGTCATAGGTCGATTGTTCAGCGTAGCTTCAATCTCAATCAATAATGTGCGCATTTCTTCAAACGATAATGATGCTCGACCCACCGCCTTTTTCAGACAGCGTTTGACACATTTCACCATTCTTTCCCAGAAACCCCCTTGCCAAGGTGCCTTTTCCACTATAAACTCCCACGTGATTCCTTTGTTCGCCAAATACCGCTGAACTTCCATAGATCTCGTAATTCCCTTGACTTCTTTTGCAGCCGTTTTAAACGTTTTCGCGTTATCCGATAGTAACTTTGTCGGTAATCCTCTTCGAGCGGTGAATCTTCTAAATGATTGTAAGAATGTAGACACTGATAAATTTGGCACAAGTTCAAGGTGTAACGCTCTTGTTGACGCGCAGGTATGGAGACAAATGTACGCCTTTTGCAACTTTCGTTCTTTATCATCTTCACCTTCGGTCGTTAAATATAGTGGTCCAGCGAAGTCCATGCCGGTGTGAGCAAAAGGTGGATCATCGCTTACTCTACATGATGGTAGCTGGGCGAACTTTGGTGTACCGTATGGCTTCCCTTCGTGTTTTCTACATGTAACACATACTCCAATTACACGTTTAACGGCTTCTCGACCTCTTGGAATCCAATATACTTCGCGAATGCAGTTCAATGTTTCTTTGACACCGTTGTGATGGACGACTTCGTGACAGTTGCGAATTACAAGTTGCGTATAGAAATGTCGTGCAGGAAGAAGTATTGGCCGCTTTGTCGTCATGGGTAATGATGATTTATCTATTCGACCTTGGCATCGAATCGTACCTTCTTCGTCCAAGAATAAATCCAACTGTCTTACGAGCAGCGGTTCTTTCTTCGAAACTCCTTGGAGATATGACCTTTCGTCTTCGAAATTGCTTGCCTGTATGGTATTCACCCAAAGTTTTTCAGCTGCTCTTAGTTCATTCGCAGTTACTTCAATTGGCACTGGCTGTCTCCTCGTTTTGTCACCGAATCTCTTTAATAACGCTGTTACTCGTAAAAGTTGCTCTTTGGTACTGTACCGGTTGCAATCCATGATGGCTTCTACGTTAGGTGGGGTGATCGTAACATTGGCTAAAGCTCTCGTTATCGTTGGTTCAATCTTGGGCTTCGTGATTTCTGCGAACGCGCTCAGTTCGTCACTCTTCGTAGGTCCTGGTTCACTCGGCCAAGCCTCCTCGGTGCTTCGAATAAACTCTGGACCGTTCCACCACGTCGTATTCCTCGTTAACTCAATTCCGCGACTTCCTCGAGATGGCAAATCTGCGGGGTTTTGTTCGCCTGGGCAAAATCTCCAGGATTCTTTCTCGACAAGGTCCCGTATCTCTTGGACACGATGATTGACGTAAGCTTTCCAAACTTTCTCGTTTCTGATCCAACACAAAACTGTGTAAGAATCAGTCCAACAAAATACTTCAGGAGTCGTGTTCAATGACGTTAGCCCTTTCTGGACAGAGTTCATCAATCGAGCTAGGATAGTTGCACCCAGTAATTCTAGTCGTGGTATGGATTGTTTTTTTATCGGAGCCACTCTCGTTTTGGAGGCCACAAGATTTACTTCAATCTCTCCGTTATGATGAACTGTTCGCAAATACACTACGGCTGCGTAGGCCTTCGATGAGGCGTCACTAAACCCGTGAAGCTGGTGACCTGTCGGTTTCTCTTTGGTTCTTCGGAAGTAACATCGAGGTATTCGAATGTCGTTCAATGCTGAGAAGTCTACGATAAATCTTTTCCATGCCGCTAACTCTTCTCCGTCTAACACGTCATCCCAATTAACGCCATGAACACACAGAGTTTGGAACCAAACTTTCATACAGATCGTAAATGGGGTAAGGAATCCAAGTGGATCAAACACTTTAGCCGCGAGTCGTAGCACTGATCGCTTCGTAGGATTAAGTGTTGCCGCAAAGTTCACCAATGCAGTTAGGTCATAGTGAATTTCATCAGTGTTGATATTCCAATTCAGTCCTAGAATTTTTATAGAACATTCTGGTTTCGGATCGTCATCAGCTTCGGATCGCGCGTACAAAATGTCGTCATTCGCTTCGTTTGAATCTCTCTCAGTTCGGTTTTCCTTTTCTGTCGAGTTGGTAAACACGTC